CCGTTTATTAAGGCGCTATACTATAGCGCCTTAATAAACGGCGCTATACTTACCCGTCTTTTCGTATTCACATATAACGTCTATTTAAAAGGCGTTATATGTATTTTGGTCACTATATTATTTTTTCACCTATTTTTGTGTCTTGAGTCCAAAAACTCATTATTTTGGTTCTGGATGATTGAGAAGAGGATCAAAGCTGAAAGAGGAAAGGCAGTGATTCAATTGTAGTGATAATTAATGGTGATGTTTCACTAGAAAGGAAATGGAGAGGACAAATTGCTAGTCTGTAACCTACCAAATATATTAAACTCAATTACCACGTTTTTATTTTGTAGCTAGTGTGATATTGAAATCTACCCCATAATTATCGAATATTTACAGCTGTAAAGCCAAAAGAGCATAAGCCAATTTCGTTCCTTCAAAAACCACCAACCATTCACTCACACGTAAAAGAAACTTATTCCCAACTTGATGTTTGTACCACCGATGAATTATAGGTGTTTGTAGATACATTTTTTTTTTTTACTTAATAATGGTTAATTTATTCGTAACTGTTTTATTTTTATCATTTCTTGTACCGAAAGTCTATTAGAAATAACTTTTCTATACTCATAGTAAAAATAAAGTCTGTATACACAACACCCTCCTCATATCATACCTGTGGAATTATTGTTGTTATTGTAGTACTTAATAATGGTTAATTTATTTTTGTTAACTCCATATATAATATATACTTGATGATTAACAAAATTACAAATCAGTAGAACCCTGGTGCTCTCGGATAGTGCAGTAGCTACGCCTAAATTACTATTACAGACATTTGTTTGTCTTTCAAACGTAGTTTTAGAATGTTTGCCCAAACTGTGGATTCAAACATTAGAGGAGCTATCAAAGTAATGATTAATTACTACTCCATATGTTTCACATTATGTGATACAATTACTATTTAAGATGTTAAAAGATTTTCTTTGACCATATTTTTTTCAAATACTTTTTAGCCATAATAAATTATTAACTACTTTGATTTATAATACTTTTTATTTAACTTTTTAAATATATAAATTTTATTCCAAAAAGTTTGAACATTTTGAGTCCGCATTCACATTGAAGGTTAGTTACTTTGATCCTCATATTTCGAACTTTGTCCACATAAAGTGGAAAGGGGGAAGTATATATTATCGCTTAATTAAATAACTTAATTATGGTAAGCTGATAGTAAACACCAAATATATTTTTACCTTACCCAACCCCCCTCTCTCTCTCCGCCTGTCTCGCACACAAGGGAAGGGGAAATAAGGAAAGGGATTACAAGATAGGTAACTTTTTTCTCTTCCTTAATTAAAATCATCTTTTAATTATTTCTTTCTATAGTAGTGTATATGCATTCAAAAGTAGTTTCAAGTCTATTTATTACTCCTTAGTCCGCTAAACTTTCTCCCCTGTTTTTATAAATCTCTCGATTTTCCGGTTGACCGAGTCTCTTGCGGAAGAGTTTTCGTTGGTTTTCTCTTTTATCCAGTCGGTAATTTTCATAAACGTATATGCATGATGTGACTATTCAATTAGTTGGGTTTAGTTTGTGGCTTTCTTCTATTTTTTTTAATCAAGAAAATTGTGGTTTAATGTTTGATTGATGCAGGTGCATATTTTGGAAGATGGATTCGGGCGAGGCCTTTGTTCCGAGGAGGCGGACCAGACAACAATGGGATAAATACTTTCTTGAGTTGTTTGAGAAAAAGAAGGGGTTGAGTCAAAGTGGTAATCCTTCCGAGACTTGTTGGATGAAAACAGAAGATGAAAAAAAGGACAAAGGAAAAAACAGTGTGAACGATAGGAAGAAGGTGAAAATGTTTGATGATAAGGAAGGTAGTGAAAGAGACATCATTATCATTAAGTAGACTGAGAAGGGCTTAAGTATTTTCTTTTAGTAGTACTTGTAATGGTGATAAGTTTTAACAGGAACAATGAAATCTATTATAGTTAAGGCTACTTCCTCCGGTCCATTTTAATTGTCATGTTTCTTTTTCAACTGTTCCTTAAAAATGTATTACTATATCCTTATTTACTCATCACATTAGGGCTAAATGAGAAAGAAAAAAAATATACCTAGATTTTCTGAAATTACAAGTATTTTTTACCAGTTACTTTTGATAACCACGAACACTAAATGAACCGAAGGAAGTATTTGTTACTGTTTTTTCCAAGATAATTGTTACAACAACAATAACCCAGTATAATCTCACTAGTGGAGTATGGGGAGGGCAGTGTGTACGCAGACCTTACCTCTACCCTGAGGTAGAGAGGCTGTTTCCGATAGACCCTCGGCTTCCTCCCTCCAATAACTCCCACCTTGCTTCTAGGGTGACTCAAACTCACAACATGTTGCTCATCAAATCAAAAGCTTCTGAATCCTGTTATTGTATAACATGTTCTTCAAGCTATATACTTCTCCGTTCACTTTTACTTGACACGTTTTGACTTTTTTACGCCCCCTTGAGAAATAATAAATGAAGTGCATAACTTATCATAATACTCATATTAATTGATGCATATTTTATTGGATTTGAGAAAATGATTTGAAATGAGTAATAAATATTGTGGGTATAACAAGAAAAAAAAATTGTCATTCTCTTGATATTGTGGGTAAAGTGACAAGTAAAAATAAAAATCTATTTTTAGTATACATGTCAAGTAAAAGTGAACGGACGGAGTATCTTATACTAGCACTTATTTTTTGTTTCTCTGTCCACTAAATTTTATACATATGAAAAAACACCTAGGTTTTTTCGTCTCTTATAAATAACTAGTATTAGCACCCGCGCGGATGCGCGGACACTAATCATGTCAAATATTTAAGTTATTTGGATTATATGTAAATAATCTTAAAATTTAAACTTTCTCAGTAAATATAGATAATCATTGAATATTAATAATAAACACTACATGAAAAAAATTAACCATTTCTTCTATTTTTCTTTTTTGATACCATTCTCGCCGGTGTCATTGGATCCTAAAAATAGTCGGGAAGCAAAATAATAACTCGTATTTATGGCAAAACAATCAAATATTGAGACTATGAATGACTCTTTGGATACGACTTGACTCTTTTACTACTACTTGAACTCTTATTTTGTGTGTTGATATCTCTTAAAAAATATTTCTTTTTTAAAATTTCAGTTTCCAAAACTTAATTTTTCAATAATAATTATTTTTATAATAATATAAGTGAAAATATTATCCTTAATGCAAAATTCATTTTAGTTGACTATCTAAAAATTTTAAAAATTCTTTAGCCAGTGAATTGTTTTTTCCAGTATGACTCCATTTTGATATTTGACATTAACCATGTTAAATATCTGAGTTATTTGAATTATATGTAAATAACCTTAAAATTTAAGCCTTCTAAATAATTATAGATAATCACTAGATATTAATTAAGAAACACTACATGAAAAAAGACTAATATTTTATCAAATCTGGTAGTGATAATTTTATTTTTGCACTATTCTCATTTGTGTCATTGGAACCTAAAAATAGCCATAAAGCGAAATAATAACTCATATTTATGGCAAAGCACAAAGGTTGACACAATATAAACTATTCTTTGATTATGACATGACTCTTTTACTACGACTTGAACTTTTATTTGGTATGATATTATCTTTCAAAAAATATTTTTATTTTGAAATTTTAATTTCTAAAACTTTATATATATTTCAATAATGATTCTCTTTATAATGATGCAAGTGAAAATATTTTTCTTAATTTAAAATTCACTTTAATCGGCTATCTAAAAATTTAAATGATTCTTTAGCCGGAAAAACTTTATTTCAGTATGACTCCATTTTAAGTTTATCGATATCTCTAGCCACAGATTTTGAATTTTTAATACCCTATATATACAAAAAATTTGTTCTTTGAATCACTAAATGTTAAATTAGTTGATTGTTATTATATAACATTGCATATATTGTCTTAAAATTGTCAAGTAGTTTATTTTTCGATACCATACTTGGCTTAACCTCAATACAAACTACTCAAATTGCATTTAAATTAAAATTTGAATATCATATCAGTTTGTTAGTAATAGTGATTTTTTAAAAACGACACACAATGTAAATAAAAAAAATATTCTAACATATCCTTATCTTATAATCTATGTATTTGAGTTGAAAAAAATATTTGAAATCGATGAGATTAGCTTCCAAATTTTTTATATTCAACAAAGAAGAAGCATAAGAAGAAATTCGTTGTCATCTCTTATTTCAGTTTTTAAGATCTTTCATACATTTTTTTTCAATATTTATTTTCTTTTATCTTACTTTTTATGTCATTCTTTTGTTACAAAAAAATAATTTATTTCACTATAAAAGGATAAGTTTTAATAGAAATTGTCTACATAAGAACTTTTTTATATTTTTAGTCTTTAGTTGAAATTCTTTCATATTTTTCTTTTGCCTTTATCTAATCCGCCTAAATAGGTGCACTCGACTACTTAGATTAAAAAATTGAAGGATGTGTAATTTATATATAATATGTGTATAATCGTGTATTGTTGGTATATCATCTATTTATATTAGTTATAAAAAGTAAACAATAAATCTGGCCGGATATTTATGTAAATATTCCATAAGATTTCGGTTTTTTAAGTTTATCCATGATATGACTTCTATTATAATAATTTTAAAAACTCTCTACTAATATTCAAAAACATCTTATCTTTTTATTATCTTTGAAGTAGAAAAAATTAAAGAGTTTTTTCTACTTCATTTGTTTACATTTAAAAAAAATCTCAGTCATACCAATTTTTTTAAAAAAAATTTACTCTTTGTTACACTTGAAAATCGCTATAGAAACTATCAATTAGAAATCAATATCTCTCTTGTTGAGTTCGAAAAAAAAACTCACATAATCTAATGATTCAAAACTAATATTCTTTAACGAAAAAAATATTATACCCTTGCAATATTGGCTTGACTGCCGCTAAATGAAGGGGTTTCAGCTTATACCCTTCAATTCCTAGAATGTGCTAAATTGAAATTAATGATAGCAATTGTATAGCCAAAGTTTTGTTATTTGTTTGATGTCCATTTAGACAAATTGACTCTTCAAACAAATATTCTTCAAAAAGAAAAGTAAAAAACAACTTTTTTTTAATATTGACTGATTTTTGTGATGTTTCTTTCTCCAGCATGTATGTTTACTTCATTATATATGTAAGTAAACTTTTATTCGACTTTTAAACTCTTTTTTGTTATTTGGATAAACATAGACGTGTACCCTATATATTACATTTATTTTAAAATAAATTCACTTTATCCAAATCTAGCTACAGTGTTTTAAAGAGCTATAATTATATGATTTTAAATGTGAAAGAGTTTTATAGTTATATGGAGTAATTTTTTATTTATTTGCTAGAGACGAAGTAGTATTTAAATAATTAGAAAAGATAACAAAAGTTGCATATGATTATTAACCGAATTAAGTATGATAACATGATATTAAAAAAAAGATATATTTTTATTTTTAATTTAAATTCGAATTTTAAAACTTTATCTATAAATTCAATATTATCTTTTAATTCAAATTCAGTATATATATATATATATATCTGACTAACATAGTCAAATATAGAATAAGTTATCATATACTATTGACATTTATTAGCTTGCCACTTAGCTTAACCATAATGTTAATTATATATGATAACTTTATTCCTTTAATATATATATATATATATATATATATATATAGATTAAACTCCAATTTCCCATGGTTCATTCCAACTCTATTAATCACTAGCTAAATACCCTTGGGTGCAAGCTATCTTAGACTCATGTCAACTTTGAAGGATTAATACACATAAAGTCACTCTATTTGTAATATAATTGCAGAAAAATCATCGTTTATTTTTTTTCAACTATAAAATCACTCAACTTTCACTTAATTTTCTAAAATATCATTCTTGCCAAAATCCAGTGAAGTTGACTGAAAATACACTATTTTAGAAGAAAAAAATATATCACTTTAAACCTAAAAAGCTCCATGACCTAAATAAATCACTCAGACCAGAAAAGCTACCCGTGAGATTAGAGAACTCATATCCTAACATGTGAGATTAAAAAGAACATATTTTGACCTATCATCCTTTCTATGGGTACTTTATTTATTTACTATCAATACACAGAGACCAATAGGACGTTCCTTTAACTTGTGGAAGTTAACTTATAGCAACAAGAAGCCCAATGAAACACACAAGTGGAGTCTGAGGAGGGTAACGCATACATTGAGAAGGTAGAGAGGTAGTTTCCGGTAGACCCTCGGATCAAGGAAAGATGAAAAAGTTAAAACTTATTAGCAAATTCTTACATTATTGAAAAGGAGGAGTCGAGCTAGTTTTTGAAGATATGTTGAATTTGTGGAAGGAAGAACTTAATTTCTGAAAGAAAAAGCACGCATTCGTTGTCTATGCTTTCATCCAAAATGAGAGCTTAGACACTGACATTTATGAAAAAGATGGAGGAATAAGAGAATGGCTGAGACAGTTCACATGGACATCATCTGTATGTTGGTGTGAGAATAGAGCACTTCACATGGACATCATAGCCCGTAACATAATGCTCATACTTAAACATTTAGTGCTCAGTTCGGAGGTATTGAATTAGCCAACACAGTTTAGAGCGGAAAGACTCACCACTCAACTAAAGAGATTGCTGGAACTCCAGGTTGCACGGCTCCTGATAACTTTTTGCATAGGCCGATCAACATTGAGACTTGAGATGCATATGCGTGCTTATGTTTTAAGCTCCCTGAAAGTGAAACCTGGAAACCAATATGAGGAGAGTAATTATAGTCGAACTAGACGTGTATACGATTGGAAGGATCATCAAGCTCGTGGATATTCTATTACATAGACAATTTCGGGAGTAAGTTGAAGGTGTTTTCATGTAAGGCTTGGACTACTGCCGTCTCAACCATCACAAAGGCCCAATATGAGATAGGG